AAGAAATAAGTAGATGAATCTGGTAGGGGATGCCGCCTGCAGGCAGGAGTATACCCGTGCTGCCTCCAACAACATCGCTCTGCGTGTTCATCCACGGTCTCGGCATCCACCCAGTGGCTGCCCTCTGCAGGACATACCACTAGCTTCTGTGTGTTACCAAGAACAACTCACATTATCCACTGTCCCATGTCTCCTCCTCTAGAGTGAGGGGATGACAAAAGCCCAAGCCCCCAATCCATTTTACTGTTCAATGTTACAATCATAGGCTACAATTCATGTTACAATTCATAGGGGCTCAGGGGGCTTGAACCCCCCCAAAAATTGGGCAGAAGGGGCTCACAGCAAGGAAATGAGAATAAGGAATACTTGCAAGAGTTCTGTCTCTGAGCACCCCCCTATTTTTCAAAAAATTGCTGCCTAAGGTTACCATAAGGCAAACACAGATCACTCCATCTTTGGTCAAATTTTAGGGATGACCTTATAAGGTCGAACTGATTTAGACATTTAAGCCTAGTAAAGGTCGACTGTTTCTCGACCTTTTATCATCTATGGTCAACCAAATATCGACCTTAAAAGGTTGACCTATGGAGCTGGTTTCAATAGCTGTTTCCAGCTGGAAATTTCCAGTTAGAATTTCATACAGAGGACCTAACAGCTGGAATACAGCTGAGTTTACAACTGAAATTCAGTTGTTTCTGTTTCTGAACCTCCGACAAAAATATTCAACAAAACGATTCTCATTCAGCTAGTGGTATTGCAACTAGGAACCAATTAGAATCTGACTACTTTCCAGCTGCTACCCAGTTGGAATGGGTCCGAATTTACTGCTGAGATCCAGCTGGAAATTATAGCTCAAAGGTCGGTCCTAAAATTCGACCCAGTCTTGTCTGATCGTGGTCGTCATAAGTTGACGGGGAAATGTCGTGAGTAACTATAGGTACAATTCCGTGTATCCCACAAGTAAGACGACGATCGTTTCACTATCTCCTGCTTAACCTATGATGATAAATTAGATTCAGCTCATTGCAGCAGCAGGAGTCTCATTTCCTTGAATTCCAAAAGCTATAATCTGTTTAAAAGCAAAGGCTAACGACATCATGCTAGATTGCAAAACGAAAATGAAGACACATGATCATGATATCCTTTACGAGAGGCCGTGAAAGAAACAAGTAAGATATGATTTGCTCACCCTTTCTTCGGTTATTGCATCAGGTCTGAATCCAGTGTAGGTAAAGAAGTCCTGAAGACGTTTCTCAGCCTGGGTGACAAACTCAGCCAGATCCTCACTCATCTTTGGGCAATATTTGATGTGAGAACTCACACTAGAAATGAATGTTGACATGGCACACAAAACTGGCAAATGAAAGCCAGAAAGGAACCCCAGCAAGGGGTGAGACCTGTAACAAGAACACCATGACTGCCAGGCGTGCAAAGCAGCTGCAATGCCAACAGCTAAGGAGATTGAATGCAACCAGGGTCAACCTACAAGGGAACCTTGGACACGGTCAAGCAGCTCAGTGGAGTTCCCTTTCACCAAAGATGCACAATGTTGGCCAGGGAATTGTTTCAAGTTAGATCAAAAGTGAAGGGAAATCAAATTATATTACTTGTACTGACAATAACTAATAAAAACATAAAATACCATCACTGAAGATAAGATAAAAAAATGAAATGTAGGATGAAACAATTGATAATATCAATAAAAAGATGGGTTGGATTTCAAACAAGATGCATGGCAAGATCTTGAATTTGGTTTCTAGCCAAGTCTTGATAGAGATCACCTCTACCTTTAATGCTCAATTAAGTGTCAGTAAACTTTTGATTAGTTTGTTGTTTTTTCTCCCCTCATTTTACCTGGTTGACATTGTTGTAGATCCCTGCAAGGGCTGTGGCCTGGCCTGACCTGACCCACAGCCACCTAGGTCCAAATTCTTCAAGATCCTTCTTTGGGTTGGGTCAGGCCAAATTTTAAACTGTAAATTTTATCGTTATTCTGGTCCGAGACCATGGAAACTCAGTGTTGTTTAATTTTTGCTCATGTCAGGTTGGATCAGGCAGTGAAGTTGGGTTGGAATTTTAATTTTGGGTTGGGTGCAGGCCATGACTTGAATTGGGCCAATTAGGTCAGGTACCAGGAAATCAGCCTGTGCAGGGCTCTACATCATGATCTTGACAAGATGTTGCTTTTTTCTTGCCAAGGTTTTTTCTTATAAAGCCTAGCCGTAATAAAAAAGCACACAAAAAGAGAAAATTTGACTAGGAAATACAGGAAGTATGTGCCATCACAATATTCCTGATCACAAACAGTATGTTTTTGTTACCTTGATACATCCTAAAATATAAACTAAAATAGCATATGCCAACACATAAATCAGTTAAAAAGTCAGTAAATACAAGTTTATGGATTTTCCATCCATCAGTGCATATCAGGTAGGAACATTTATGTATTTGGGATATCTTTTTCATAACTAATCCAAGCAACCCCTGCCTTAAAGTTTTTCTTTGCACAACTGGTCAGCACGGAGTTCAACTTAAGCGACATTCCATGAACAAATCCCAAGAGTCCCACAGCATCCTCACCAGCTCTATCTCCTTCCCTAGCTGTAACCTCTGCTGATAAGAGCATCCCAGTATCACCAGCCCTTACAGAGCATGGCAAATGACACCTTCACTGAGACAGACAATCATTGAAGTGTCCAAACCCATGGAAACCTGCAACACCTGGTAGTGCATGGTCATAGCTGATGGGTCAACCACAGAGTGGCAAGACAAAGATTGATCCAGGTTGGCTTCATAAAGATGTTGCATTTGCAGAAAAGCATGTTCCTCTGACCAGAGCTGCTCGTGATGCAGGTGACAAGAGCATGACTGACAGGCCCGATCATCCCCGGCCGATAGAATGAAAGGCAAAGGAAGGAGGAATGATTGGGACCAACAACAAAATTTGGAGTCTGGACTGATGTTATAACTTGGAGACTTGGACATGGAGGCACTTACATCAAAATAGGAATGAGAAAAAGAAAGGGAAAATATGTAAAATAATAATAATAATAAGCACTAATAGCGAAACATGATGTCGGAAAACTTTAAAATGTTGAAATACAACAAGTGCAGATAAACATGGGAAAAAGTGGCAATGCAATGACAATGCACTCTAGAAAAATGGAATGCTTAATATATCTCCCCAAAGATTGTATGTGCATAAATAGAGTGTTACTTGGAAAACCCACAATGCCCCTTCCCATGAACAGAGCACTGATGGATGGATGGATACAATAGAGATTCTCTAAACTGGATCACTGTAACAATTACTACAGTACATGGATTCATTTTAAAACTGATATTCTTGTAACTCATGTAAAAATTTTCAAGGGCCACCTTTCCTCAACTGAATGAGGTTCCGACAATTGGCCGTGTTGGATCAAAAAAATGCAGAAGGCCTGCAATTTCCCACATCTTCCCATCATGTCTGACTGCATGAGACAGCCACACCACGCCTTGTGGTGAATGGTCTCCACTCCTTCCAGACTGGACCTCAAATAAAAACACACAGGCTCCGAAAATTGATATGGCTTTATTTATATTATACCACAGATACAGGAATCCACTGTAGCTTTGCACGACTGGAAGAAACGTACTGGCCAACCAAGCCAGAAGGCAAGAATGGGTTTTGATTGACCCAAGACAAAACAGGAGTTTATGTGAACTTAACCTTGCAAAGAATTCTATAATTCTAAACTCAGACTTCTGTTAATTTATATCAGTACATGACCAGTGTAATTCTTCATCTGGGATCTCTCTAATGTTGCCTATTTCAAACATGATGTTTTAGTTTCTCTAAAAATTTACAAAGTAAATAGTGTGAAATCATTAATAATGTGCAAAATCTCACAAAATTTTTCAAGATAAGGAGGTATGCTGTATGCTACATTAAGATTGGTCAGTCATTAGGGGACAGAAACAAGTGGACATGATACTAAAAAGTAAGTGAGCAAAATCAAAATCATCCACAAGGTTGAGAAAAAAAAAATGGGCAGAATGCCTTTTGATGGCACAGGAAACACATCATCACGAATATGGCTCATCGGGGCAAGGCCACAGGTGATACAAATGCCTGGGACGTTCATCCCGTAGCACTTCATATCACAGATCTCGCATCCATTTTTAGTAAGTGAGCAGAGAGAAATGGCCATACGTGAGCAAAGTGACGTAATGGAAAGGAATGTGCGAACCAGAGACAAGATTCCCTGAAACTCCTCTCAAGATATACAAGATCTATGGACATAAAAATACTCAGATCCTTTGCAAGGGGTCTTCGGCATTTCGACATCCACCGTGATGCAACTCTGGTAACTGGAAGCATAAGTCATAGCCTCATCTCATTCTCACTGGGAGGTATAAGCTCATAATTCAGGATACTCCAGCTGAGAGCATAGAATAGTATGATAAACCTAAGAAGAAAAAAACAGTGATATGGTGGAGAAAAATATTCAAAAATCTAATGAAGCAACAGTGGGATGTCTTGAGATCCCCAGGACGAGGAGAGCACCGTGCGACGGATGGCAGTTGGAACCGGGGAGGAAAATTCAGTCAGGAGGCGATCACCTGGATCTTGGAGATGGGGACGCCGATGCCTTCAGTGCGGCCCGACGCTTCCGCACCAGCTTTCGGTACTCACGGTCTAGGTCCTCTGCTGACACGTTTAGCTTCTGCATCTGCATGTAGTTGAAGAATGGAAAACCAAATCATTCCATTGCATTGATGGTTGCAGATATGCTTCTACATTGCTCTTTTCCCACATGAACAGCATAACACCCACAAGAACCCTCTTATGCCTGCCAATATGGGTTATTTCAGGAATAGAACTAACACTGGAATTTCAAGTGGCACATATTTTGGCTCAGACAAAAATGCATCCAGGAATTCATGCTATTCATCTATTTTGTCCATCCCAGCCCTCATTACCCAAATTCTCCATTGTTCCTGTCAACATAAGGAGCCTCTGACTTCCATGTCCTTCTAGTCCCCTGCCTGCTTGGATACAGCTTCTATGTCATTACCATCCTACTTGTCCCCATCCTCATCAGATAAGGTGTTATTGAGGACCAGTGTCTATGAGTATTTTCAGGGCCTTAGAACACATCTTGGTCCCATCTTCTAGGGTTTTCACAGTGAAAAGTACATCACACTAGCACTATCACTTTGCCGCCTTCTAAATAGTTCAATTTCGGTGAATTAAAAATTAATTCAAATTTATATTACTAGGTATCCACTCCAAATGTGAGAAAGGTATCAGCATTAGTGAATCCCCATCCACTCCAGGAACAATTTTTCCATTTGAGTGGGCCAGGAAGTTGTTTACTATAATCCAGCAAGTTCATGTTCACTTTCAATCACTGCCATAGAGTTCAGTTTCTGCCAGAAGCCATGAGCAAGGGTTTCTCCCCTTAAACTTGAACTAGTTACTTAGTGCCCGACCCATACTTCCTCAGATTCTCCTATCACTAGCTACAGCTCACCTATCAACTTCTGCCTATTTCCAGTACCAAACCTGACAAGTCAAGGCACCAAAACTCACCTGATGGAAGAGGACGGGGATGGTCATGCAGTCGTTGGGAATGTTGCGGAGGGACTGGATGGTCTCATACATGTTGGGGCACTGGCGCCTCTGGTTCGAATTCCCTAGGGTCATCCTGATCAGGGCTAGCCCCACCCGAAACAGCACTTTTGATCCTGTGAAAGGAAACATATCCATTTGGAAAATATTCAAGGCAATTCTTTTCAGATTGATGCATAAGGCTGTTCTGTAGGCACATGTATGCAAACTATTCCTTGGAACCAATAGGATCAAACAAGAAAAAAAAAAAACACCTTGGGTTCCATGAAGCAAATTTGTAAATATCTCACCAAACCTAAATGCACAGATAACCTAATTGTTCTGCAGCACAATTCAGAAAAGGCACCAATCATTTTCTATATTAGGATATATTCACATGAAATTGAAATGGCTACCTCTGGTAAGGACATTTCTTCCCTCTGCTCATCAATATATCATCCTTCAAGGGTCTGAAGCTATTACACAAAATGATTGTGCATTTACTTAGGACAGTAAATTCATACACCACCCAGTATCATATAAGTTAAAAAATACTTACCAGGATCCTCATTAAGTTGGTGTCGGAAATTTCATTGGTAATGCTACTGGGGCATCCAATTTCTTATGTGGGCTATTTTTGGCCAAGATATAGCAATTTCATTCACCTAAATTCTGCTATGTTTTCATAAAAATAGAGTGACTTGACATTAGAATTTCATATACTCATCTCTAAAGATAAACGGCTCAAGATCAGAATACACACACCTTCATACACTTCTCTTGTCAAAATGAAAGCCTGCTCAGCTTCTAAATCATGAGGAAACATATAGAGACAGACCTTCACAGAAGAATATATCCCAGACACGAAGCACGGTCTCCCAGGGAAGTGTCCGCACATAGGCACACATGAACCAGTCGGTCATGAAGAGCAAGGGTGTCACACCCTGACTTTTCTGCCATCAAGATAAGAATCACAGCTGCTAATACCATTTCACCTGGCACCACTCTCAAGAGGAAGAATCAAAGCGATTTACCAAGTGGCGATGGACAGCAGCATCAGTCCTTTTGATCATGGTGAAAAGGAGATCGGCGTCAATCTCAAGTTGCGTCAGACCAGGGCTGAAGTACCCAGAGAGATACTTCTCGCAGAGGGAGACAAGACACCAAAAAGCATGTTCAGCAGGCATGTGCATGAGAAGGGTTGCAGCCACAGGTGCCTGGCCCTGACAGTATCCATCTTGGGGATTCAGGATGGAGTATGCCTTCAAGACATTGTGCAGCTCTGTTTGCCTGGAGGCAAAAGACAAGAATATAACCCATCCTACTGCATCTTGAAGCAACAGTTGCTTATTGGAAACCAAAAAGCCTGAAGACCAGAGGATGAGTGAGTCTACAGAACCATTCTAAGTGACTTTATGTTTCCTTGAAATTTTTGGTAAGGTAGTATCCACCATTCCTTTTTTCATTTCTCCTTTTTTATTCCCAAGATGCCCATGGGATGGTATGATTAAAATGTTAAATTCTGAGTAGAATGCAATCAACTGACAGTTGTTCATGAACCTCACCCTTTCCCTCCAGCCTCAGCAAACATCTCGTGCATCGGAAATTGGCGATGGAGGTCCCTCTGAATTTCATCTTCTACCTCTGGCTGAGCAGACTTTTGATGCAATCGCTCATATAGACTTGGCTCCTACAAAACAAGGACATCATTATAATTGGTTTACTTTCTAGATATAGGTCCATCATGAAGAATGACAAATATTTTACTAGCATTGACATCTCCAGCTCATTACATCATCTCTGTCCAAATAGAATTCAAAGACTTCTTCAGAACATGAAGACCAGCCCAAGATGTCTTCCATCCTTTACCCAGATACACTGTCAGAATAAAGTCAAAAGAGGGTTTAGGATGTCCTGACCTGACGGATAAGTTTGTGAGCACCACACAAATGAAGCCAGGCTCGCCCACGGAGAGAGGGCGGAATGCCCTTGCGACATCGATCCCTCAGCTTTGGGGAGAAAAGATACAATAGAATAAAAATTTTGTATTCACTATTAGAAATGAAAAACATGTAGTACGCCTTACCTTATCAAATTTCTTCTCCATGAAGCGCTCCCAGTTATTGAGCATGTGGAGCCACTTGCTCTCACGTTTGCGCAGAACTGACAATGGGATGTCCAAGTCCCTGTAAGAAGCATCAACACTTCATCCATGAGTTAGAACTTGGAAAACTATATGAAAACATCACAGATGAAACACTCAAATAACACAACTGACTGAGTCATAACATAGCCATGGAAGCAATCCCACTATATACCATGCCACTGACCTACCATTTGTGCTGCAACTGCTGTTTCAAGTATTAAAGCTTCTTGAGCAAAAATCTTATTTCCTCACTTACAGCTCCAAACTTACACCCACATCAAATTTTACAGAACAACTACTGGTAAAGCTATACCCATTAATGAAATCTTGAAGGATTTTCATAACCTAGCTCCAGCTTTGCTTAACCATTTCCCTGGCATTGGCATAGTTTAATGTCGACATCCTCAAAGTGTTCAGATATCCTGCCCTGGGAAAGGGTTAAAATGGGGAGAAAAAAGACTCCTCAGAGTAGCATGATACACCAAAGATGAAGGCAGATGAAAAAAAAAATTACTTTGCAATAATATACCTCAATGAGACACTAATTTTTCATAAAGATTTAGCATGGATGCATAATAGTTCTCATGTACTGACGTCATTAATAAATGGTCACAAGTAGCAGATGCTTCAGTATAGGAGCTATGTTCAAGAGCACTGGCAAACAGAAATCAAGGATCAATATTGACTCACATTTCAAAACCACATAATTTTTATAGAAAATTAGAAGCTCATGACTGGCACAAGAACCTCAAAAACATCTAGGGGTGCACAAAGTTCAACTGACTTTATATACCAAAATTTACTTACATGGCTCTCATTCTCACAGTTTTGAGACTGAGAACCATGTGACTCATGAGACTTTGTAAGGTTTCCTAGAAATTCTGATTCACTATACCAACGTGACAAAGAGAAGAGCAAATTTACTTTTCCCCTGAATACTGGAAGCCACCGATGAAGCCATAGCGGTCTGGTGGGTTGGAGACCATGGAGCCATTGCCCTGGAGGATGCTGCTCCCCTCGGACTCTGATTCCATGGAGTCGTCGACCCATTTGAAGGACCCGGTCACAGAGCCGCTCTTGTTCATCGTGAGAGAGGCTCTCAATCACACACACAAACTCCTGTTTGTTGCTCAATCACACACTGGTCCATCCACTCCACGCATCTCACCCAATATCATATTGTGGTGCTTGGAATGCCCGTATCACAGTCGACGAGGAATATGGAAATCTGATCTTACTACTTTCCCATATCTAAAAGAAAGAAAAGAGTCTTACTAATCTGGGAAGTTCACACAATTATTTAAGTTGCTCAAGATTTTGTCAACATAACCTAATCATAAGAATAAAATAAATTATTGTAATATTTTGGCAGTTCAATGATCCAGAGTTGGAGTGATTTTCTAAACTTAGCATTAAAAATGTGATCACCCCTGAATTCAACAAATTCTTGCCATAACACCTGATGATTCCAGGCTCCCATCCCATACGATGGAAAGGCAGGAGCAGGCCAAGATGGGGATACTGTCACTATCATATAAATATATCAACAATATAGCAAGCACTGATCCTAATTTTCCATTCCAGGTTTCTGAAATGTCTTTAGTCAGAGGGAAAAATAACTGGGTATCACAGTTTAAATCACATAATATTGAATCAGTTGAACACTTTGGCTTGCAAAGTAGCAGCACCAAGAGATGGTGCACAGTCTCGAATACCAGCTTCCAGGATCTATAAATTCAAATCAAACCGCATTTCACCATGGATGCTACTGAAAACACAGAATCTAAAGGAAAAGACTTCACCTCACCTGGAAAGGGACCTCAATTTCTGGTAAGCAGTGAGATTTGACAACAGCCATGGTCCTCAATGGAGAGTCCTCACTGCGAGACAGGAGTATCCTCAGAGAGGGCAAGTGCGAGAAAGATTCACCAAGGGCTGGGATCTCTGTGCTTCGCCCAGTCACTACGTCCATATACGTGGTCAACTGATTAGTTATAACCACCTGCATGAAGCATTAGATACTTACAGCATACAGATTCAACCTGTTTTTGTTTTTACTTGAGCAAGGGACTCCCTTACTGCAAGATTATGATCATGAGCCAAGCGTAGGAGTGTCTGGTGGATTTCGTGGAGGAGCTTCGTCCGAAGAAGGGGATCATCAACTCCGTAGCGAAATGGGAATGCAATACTGTCCACAATCAGGATCTTTACCTGTACATATACAAATAAATGCTAGAAGTTCATGGGAAGAGGCACACTGAAGTCCTTCATGAAAAACTGTCTCATACAGAAGGATGAGAAGAGAGGAAAGGTGGCAAGGAGCTGGACACAATGCCAGACAGCACATTTGGGTCCATACATCTATGACAGAAGACCCTGTCAAGCATAGTTGAAGCTGTGAAATGTTTCACTTCCTCCATTGACATTTTGTTCATTTTCTCTCCCAGCTTCTGACAGTGCTTCTCAGCTGCTTCAGCAAGATCTAAATGATATTGGGCACATTAAAGGACTATTTAGGCAAAAGCATTAGAGAGTGCCATGAAATAAGTTCCTCATATAGCCTTAACCTGGCTTTATTAGACCTAAAACTACCTTCCAGCCTGCGCACACTAAATGAAGCCTCAGTGTCTATGTATATAGCTTCTCCCCCCAGGCCTCCAAGAGCAACTGGTATTTGAGCATCAATACACAGCTGTAAGCTGCAAGAAATAAAGCAAAATGGATCTTTAAAAAAATGTATAGCACAGAAATCTTAAAACCATACAGCACAAAAAAGATTAAGACATGGTAAAAATTAAATAATTTCATACTTGAGCCTATGCAAAGCATATACTTCAGTCTATTCATAGATTTCCAGGAAAACATTAAAACCAGGTCAATTTGAAAATGAAATATCTATGTCTGAAATAATGTTGGCTAGACTAGATGCAACAAAAACAATATCCTCACCAGAACTGTGTCTTGCCTGATCCAGCTTTTCCACACACCTCTGTAACTTGGGAAGTTGGAATGCCTCCACCAAGTGCAGAATCAAGCACTTTACTAAAAGTGATAATCTGCTCTGGTTTATCCATGCTTGCAGGCCTGTTAAACCAACTCAGGTCATAGGTGGCCAAATAAACCTATACTGGTTAGGGTAAAGCTTTTGAAGTTCAAAGAACAGGCAGCAACAATCATCAGACAATTTCTTTAAAAAATGCTACATTACCCAGAGCAGCTCAATCCAATCTTGCACCCTGAATCAATCCCCCCAAGCCTAGCTTCACCCTCAATCCCTCAGAGTCCTCATTCATACAACAAGGAAAATCCCATGCATCCAGCTGATACAATACATGAGCTTCCAATAACCAGTTCTGATTGATAGGGGCCTAGATGCAAGAAAGGAACAAGCATTGTCATATATTAGTATGTTAAAGCTCATGGAATATCATGCATTGCATCAGCATAAAATAAGGTTAAGGGGGCAGAAAAAAATTCACCAACCTCCATGTGATTACGGAACTCCGCGGAGCCACATTCCAAAGACCAGTTTCTATTTTTGCATCTCTTTCTAGCTGAGATGGATTCTAACCCCCCCCCTTCGTGAGACCATGGCACCAAGATCAGCACACACAAGCACAGAGGGAGTGCCATGGACCTCAGTTGATCCCCCCACTTCCTTATCTTTCATTGAACCAAAGCCCTGTGTCAATATTTACATGAGTCCCACTGTGAGAAAAACTCTTTGCATTTTATACCATACTTCCATTCTGCTTTTTTTACTTTAAACTTTTGTGGATGAATATTTTAATTCCAAGCAACATTAACCAAAGAAAGTGAAAGTCTACCATTCCAATGCTGAATAAAACTGAGGGTCAAATGAAAATAAAAAATAGATAGATTAATACTAGTCTGCTTAATCAACTAACCAAAGCTTACCTATATAAACACCTTGTCATTTACAATACCTCTGCGATCTTTGTTTTCCATGCTTTTTATGAATCTCAACTAGCTCAGGCCTGAGTTACCACATAAGACCAAGGCTGTACATAGTTCATGTTCTCTCAAATCATTTCAATCAAGTCATTCATCATGAAATTTCCAATTACTTCAAATATGTCTTGAAAAAAATTGTGTCCAGGTAGGGCAAAGGACAATGAATGTTAATGTTAATCACACTTAAATGAGCTCATACATTCCTGTCAAATGAACAACCAGAACTTCCAAAATTTAGTCTAGGACTAATCCTAAAGCAATTTAGGATGTAGGTAGATCCTAAATACTTAGCACTATCCAAAGGCCTTCACCAGCTGAGACTAGATCCTCTTCAAAACTTTTCAAGGAATAATATAAAAAAAACACCAGACTATATCTAGGGCAAGCCTGCCAAGTCTAGATTATTCTGAGCCCTGCTCTGGTAGAACCAGTTTTATACAATACTCAAGAATTGGGGTTCCTAACTGCTCAAGACATAGGTCAAGTAAATATATGAAAGTGAGGGTGGGTGGGAGCAGGAATGAAACCACATGGTCCAGTATTAGCATATATATCATAAGTGATTAGGCTGTCAGCTTTTGTTCTTAAAAGAGGGAAAAGTGGCTATGAAAATTGTATTAGCTATACAACCAAGGAAATAAATGCATCTGAATGAGCCCTGGATATAGCTACTGTCGACTATTGACAAATTAGCAGCAGACAAAGCAATAAAAATGTCTGTTTTAAATCGTTAAATAAGTAGAACATTAATGAAGGTTCATACATTACAAACCTGAGAGACATAAAATACCTTGCAAGTTTTCCTTTGAAGCTAGGCATATCATCAACATATCAAAAGGAAGGAGTAAATGTCAATGAATACAGCACAAGCAAAAGCAAACTGTATTATTAAGTACATCTGGTGAATTCCAAATATTACTGCAATTAGGATTGTCTATCTCAAGCTAGAGTTGATTTCCAGGAATATGCAGGTTTTGACATGTATGTAAGTGTTAACATTTGCAAACATGGTTTCCTAATGGCTTACATCAACCTAGGCTATGCCAGATGGCTGGGTTAGCCACAACCAATGTCAACAAGTACATATTCTGTGAGTCACCATTCATGATAAGAAAACTCTTTATAAGAGATTGTGCGCTATCTGCTCATGCATACTTGTAAACAAAGCTTGATTCCAAATTTTGGTATATGCACAATAAATCAGAAATAGATCATTTTAAGTGGTTAAAAGCACCAAACATCTTAATTTTTTCCCCAATAGCATGTCCTTTCCTGGGACATGATAGTGGGAAATGAAGAAACGAGACCAAATTCAAATACTTGAGTTTGTTTGCACCCAGGATCTAGTGTCAACTTCCAAATATACTCTGTTTGAAATTTCTCAAAAGTAACAAAGATTAAAAAGTGATAAAAGCAGGAGGGAATCTGCTGAGGAAAAATTAATTCCAGCAAGATTTGCCAGCATGAAGAGAAGTAATACAGTTTCCAGTGTAAGGCGAATTCAGCAGAGAGAGCGCTTTGGCCTAGGACTAGGGATGCACTCAAGTCATGCTATACAGTATCCAATGTGTCTGATATTTACAAATACTATCAATATTAAATAATGTCAAAGCAATAGCACAAGCTCCAAAAGTAAAATACGCGTTAGAACACGAGCGAACACGAGTCTCCTGTTTCACAGTTCAACAGACTCTTAGTTGACCACAAATTCACCACACGACGGTGGCGATTAGAAGGCATCCGTCCTCGCATGGGCGTGCCAGGGATAAACGAACCGTGAAACAAGCGAAAACCACTGCATACCTAAGGTCTTTTTGTAGTAGCTGCCATCTTGGACCCGCCCACGGACATGGCTGCTTCCACGGGATGCACATGGTGACCGCCATCTAGGATCCGCACGTGGATATGGCTGCCTCCGTGTGACACACGGGACGAGACTGGCTGTCTCAATTGTGGAATAGCCCTTCCTATCTTTTCCCCTATTTTCTTCGCACAGAATCCCGCCCCGATGTCGTACTTGCAGACCGAGATCATCACTCACACCCGAAAAGTCTGCAGCCTGTACAAGAGAGCGCTGCGATGCCTCGAATCCCACCATACCGAAAAGTCAGTTCGCAAATTTTTCTCTCCGGAAGAAAACCGAACTAACTCCTCTTTCCCCGCAGGTGGAAGTTCAGATACGAAGCTGTCATGCTTCGCCAGCGCCTCGAAGCGAATAGGAAGGTGACGGACATGCGAGAAGCGAAGGTTCTCCTCCTGGAAGGCGAGAAGGAACTCATCGAAAATGCGCACTATCAACCCCTCAAATGTGAGTTGCTTGTATTGAAAGTGGCAGACATACAAAGGGAGATTATACAAAACTTTGGCTATAGGCATACTATGTCTTGCAAAGCTCATGAAACTAAAGCCATGTTTCATATCTAGCCTACTGCAAGAGCATGTGACGCAAAGCAGAAATCTTTCTTCGTACCTGGTGTTATTGTTGAAGCTAAATCTGTTATCAGCAAAAAATTGTCTTTGTGTGAAAATGAGAACTCTACCTCCTGTTCAGAGGGTTTTCAATCATGGGGGGGCCCAGACCCAAGGACTCATGAGATCCGGACCTATACCTTACTCTGAATGCAAATTGGTACATGGACTGATTCCATTCATCTTTCTTGGAAATGAATTATTTCTAGCAAATGACCCTGTGGTTCTGGTGGAATGTTTGCAACTTCAAGCAGTCATTAATCCCTGCTTGCAGGGCTCCCTATGGATGGATATTATGTGAAAGTGATGTGAGGTTCAGTTACATTTTGAGAATTTTACAATGTTCATGTTGTGAATGTGATTGATGGATACTGGAATCATACCTCATCAGTGATCAGATGGAAATCATCTTGTACAAGAATTAAAACATGTTTGAGTTGGAAATAAAAAGTAACCTAGGTAGTCATTGACCAATTGATTGATAAATTGAGTTGGGGTGGTTGCTGATCTTACTCCCTCTCTTGTGCATACATTAGTATCCCCTGACTCAATTGTATGCAAGAGGTATGAACTGATGCAGCTCTGGCCTTTTGTGCTTTCACATATGAGCTAGATCAATCACATTCCAGCTGAATCATCTGGCAGTTATCTGACATGGCTGAGAAAGGTAGATAATGGAAGTTCCACTTGCTCTTTTTGCTTCTCAGTTGTACCACACCAACACTGAACTAACTAAAGTAATGGTGCTCATCAGTTATATGTGAGAAACGTGTATTTTTTCCATGAAATTTTCTACAGTCTGTAACATAAGTTAAAAAGAACTTGTTCTTGACAAAATAGGCATTTTGTTTGATTCTTTTTTAAAATATACTGCACATTAAGCAGAAATATGGCAGGTATAGCTGGATATATGGTCAGTCACTATTAAAAACCCATAATTTCTCAACAAAACCCTCCCTCATGTACTCTTCCCTGTCTCATTCTTTTTTGCTGATTCCATGTTAAGTAAATAAGGAGCATTTCCAAATCACATCTTTCTATGTTTCTCAATTTCATCCCCAGTTTGGAATTCCCCCGGTGGAGTATGCTACGGGAGGGAAGTTATACCCCAAGATTGGGTTCTAGACTACTGGCATCCTCTGGAGAAGGCCATGTACCCTGATTACTTTGCACGTCGAGAAGAGAGGAAGAAGGAGTTTGTGACATGGTATGAGAAGACCTATGGGAAGCCTCAGGAGGATCACCATCATTGATCTGTGTTCTTGTGCATTGACTTAGGACTAGGTAGGAAGTGTTTATCAATAAATGTCAAAGTACCCTCATATAGCAATGGTTTGAGAGTGCATTCCTTTCTGCAACACATAAATATCTGATTGGAAAGAAAGTTCTCAGAATTTCTTGAATATCCAGTACAATTTTTTTCCAGAGCATGCTAGAATGTTCTGCGTGTGTTTATAAGTAGGTTGTGTCCTTCGGCATACAACCGTATATTATTACAGCCCTGGTGCTCTCCAGCCATGAACCAGCCCTACCCTCTTACTAAGGAGCAAGTTCGCCTGCTTCTTCTTTATGACTTCCGAATCAAGAAGAAGGCAGCCAATTCCATCGCTGACATCAATACCGCGTTTGGCCCGGACACTG